CGTATTTTGAAAATGTGGAGTCGAATTAGTCTAGAATCGATTAATTTTATGGAAGAAAATTTTTCAAACAGTTGTAGTCTGTAAACTTGACACGTGTCGGACTGTGATTGGCAATGATTCCTACAATATTGATTCATAAAAAACGGAACGTATCTACCGTCTTATAGGAAGATCGACTGTATTTGTGCCTAATGTGTACATTTTACATCGCGTTTTCAAAGGAATTTTACTTTTCATTTTACACATTTTTTTTTCAATTGAAATGCTTTTAATCAGAGAATTTCATGTAAATTTGTATTTGACAAAAAGTTCATTTGTTTAGCCATGAAATTAAGGAAATTCACACGCGTATTGGCGCAATCGGAAAAGAAACAAGGGACGAACGCTTTCCCTAAAAAAATTTCAAAAATGATAAAGAAATGGTAAAGGAATCAACGACTGCGTTCGGCAGACTCAACAGTTGCGGAGCTGTTGAGTACTTTTATGCCGAATGCCCTGTCTTCTACAGTAGCGTTCTCTTCATGTTTTGACGTCTTTCATTTACGCAATCTATCGCAATCTTAAACTGACTAATGAGGCTGTTTGTTCCAACGAATACATCAGTCATCGTTCTGCAGATCCAGGTTTTTACGTAATAGCTACCGGTTTGCTCAGTTACAACTGTTGAGTCCTCCGAAGCAGCCAATATAATTGCCAAAAATAAAAAATTGAAAATAGTATTATAAAAATACTCAACAACAAGTTAGATAACTTTCCCGGCAAACAAAATTTAAAATTGAATATAGTACCATATCTTACGATATTTAATATAAAAATTTTTTTAAAAAAACTACTAGCATCGATGCCACTTATACGCGAGCTTTAGTGTTAAATTTCGTTTTTCAATCTTTACCTCTGGCCGAAATATTAAACGAAATAGATTCCAACACAAACACACCTAAACACACATCTACTGAATTATTTACGTTTTTTTAAAATTTTTTTTTTGGGGATCAGAATGTCTCAAAACGTGGAGAGATTTACAAAAAAACCCGAAAGTTTAAATTTGACACGATTTCAATACTTTTTCGTGTTACGTACATCATAAGCCAAGAAAATAAAAAATAAACGATTTTATCATAAATTTTATAGTAATAAATCGGCAAAAATTTTTATCATTCGTTTGTAGTTTACGGTTACGCCACCGGGGGGCAGCTCGTGGTTTTTTTTAGGATATTTTCGGCTTCTCGTCCGGCAACACTGCTGCTCGTTTAAACGACGTTCTCGTAATCGCTACTATTGTTTATTTCTAAGCATTTCAAAGTGTTCGAAAGGAAAGAAAAGGTTAGTAAATTCGTGAGTTGTTTGATGTACGTAATAAATAATAAGCACAGTTCCACAAAGAAGTAAAATTGGTTAATTTCTTCTGTTATTGACCCAAGTGACGTCCAAGTATTCATTCGGGTTTTATTCCAGATACGTATACTGTCATGGCGGCTCATCTCTGATTCCAGCAAACAAAAGAAAACAGTGGGGACGCACGTTCTAACCTAACCTACTAATTCTAATAATTTGGTTAGTAATAATTACGCTAATTTATTAGAATTGGTTAAGTTAGGTTAGAACGTGCGTCCCCACTGTTTCTTTTGTTTGCTGGAATCAGAGATGATTCGCCATGACGGTATACGTACCTGGAATTTAACCGTAATTTGTATTTTATCAACTTTAAGTGAAGTCGTCCTTATAAACTAAGAGATATTATCACTTTTATCCTTCCAATCTTTGTTTTACAAATATCCTATGGTTTATTTATGTGCACTTATTATATAATATTTGACAAATTGTTATATGTATATTGATGTGTGGCCGGGAATGTATGAAAACATAAATGTATAAGGATTTAATAATAGGTATAAGCTTATATACATTGGTACCTCAGGATACGAAATTAATCCGTTCCGAAACTGAGATCGTATCATGAAAATGTCGTAAGGTGAATCATTTTTTTTCATACGATTACATGTAAAACCAAATAATTCGTTCCAACACGAAAAACACACTCAAATTAAAGCTAAGTTGTACATTAAAAAATAACTATAGCAAGGAAAACACTGAAAAATGCATTTTGTAGTTGTAAATGTATAAATAACCATAATAGAATAATAATTGATTTTAAAAAATGTAGCTATATTTGCACTTTACCTTTGAGGATAGACGACGGTGGAGGTGTAAACTGGTGGCGGAAGAGAGGGAGAAGGGAAATGATACTAAAACTTAACTTACATAACATAATGTAACAATAACTTAGAGAAGATTAAAAAATTAGTGTTGTTTTATATATTTTTTAAAAATTTTAATTCACTGCTTTTTGCTTTCCTTCCTTCACTTCCACCAGCACTTTCACTGGATAGAGGTCGCTTGGTAAAATATCTATCCAAAGAGGTTTGGCTTTGCCTACTTTTTTTAATGTTTCTAAAATGACTTAGGCAAATGTCATTACTCCGAGCAGCAATACGGCCAGTGTGAACCTTGTCAAGATGTTTCTTTTCAATAAANATTGTATCTCCAATGTATAAGGACGGCAAGCGATGGTATGATTTTTCTTGGCTGGACATATTTTCTGGATGCAAATATTGTATGTAACTGAGAAAAATCATGTTTTGTGCTGTCCTTATACTTTTAGACATGTCTTAGAAATTGACTTTTGTCATTTTTTATGATCTCTTGCAAACTGTAAATATTGTGAGATTAAAGTGAAATGTCACTTCTTCAGAACTCTCGCATTCCATTTGTTTAAGTGCATTTTAGCTATAATTAGAGCTAACACAAAATTGGTGGGGTCTTTATAGTCGACTGTAGTGTACGAACACTTTGTCTTATCCACTTTGAATTACTTTGTTTTAATGCTTTCACATGATACTCACCTAATTTGATGCATTGAATCAATTCCATTTTTTGTTTGGGGAGAGAGAGAGAGAACAAGCTTGAATCTTTATTTCTGTCTTTCTGGATATGTATTGTCTGTATGAAATGTAAAAAAAAGGAATGTTTGCAAGTCAGTAAAAATAGTTACTAGTTTTTTTTCACCAAAACATTGTAAAATTAAAATTTATTATACAATATATACAAATTTATTACCGTATTAGCCCGAATATAATGCGATATTTTTTGACCATTTATTTTCTGTTAAAAAATCGACTCGCGCTAAATTCGAGGTTTAAGTAATGGAATGTAATATAAACAAGGACATTTTCCTACAGAGGTTGAAACGCGACTGAACGTCCGAGCAATTTAAGGCCACCTTACGACAAGTGTTAAGGAAAAAATTGAGGCATTGAATTCCGATCTTGTAATAATACCGGGTGGTATTACTTNTGCTCCAGCTGCTGTCGATGAAGAAGGAAGGTATGTTTGGAGAAATTTATATTTTTTTCTAAGAGTTATAAAAGAATTGATTGATTTTAATCGGTGAGTTATTTAACGATCAAAGGTTAAAAAAGGTAGTTATATCATTCACAATGAATGATCATTAAATGAGTAAAATACTTAAAGGAATAATTTCATTTTTACAATTACAGTAACACCCGCTTAATGCAGATTCGATATAACGTGGTCTGCTCGAAGCCTAAAAAATGCTTAAAATTTGTATTGATTTAAATTATTGCGGCATTTCGTTGATTCGTTTATAATAGGATCATTTGCAAACACAAACAAATCAGCAAAAGGTGGCAAAAAGGTGTACTTTTTTTAAATCTGTGTTCGGTACAATTTTGGAAAAAATATAACATCACCATAGGAAATAGCAACTTAGCTTGGCAAAAATTAACCGATAAATGCACAAACGAAGTGTGGAAGAAGTTATGGCTGAAGGTATCCAAGAATTCTCAATGAGAAGAGTCTATTACTGTATCATTAGGTCGACCAAATTGTCAAGCTTATTGATACAGCGGTTCTAGGACATGTAAATGAGCAGAATATTGAGGTGTTACCGCAGATTTCTGGTGAGAGTCTTACCAAGGACGACCTTCAAGAACTGGTAGAACAAGGAATTCATGTAGAATTGGAAAATAGAGATTCTGTAAACAAAAAACCAAAAGATTTCTCTACAGATTTTTTTAGTAAAAAAGTTTGGTAATGATAACCGACATTGTTGATCAAATTGTAGCGAACGATTTTGAAAGAAGTGCAAAAGTAAAACAATGCGTTTTGGATGCGATCTTCCACTACCGACATATGCTTAAGGAAAGAAAAAAGCGACAATTGAAACCTCACGACTTTATTGCAAAAAAACAATAATTTCTGAAAAGTCACAAAAAATGAACTTTACATTCTGTGTGCACATGTTTGTGCGTTATTTAACATATATTATTATGAAAATTAATATAAAAATAACTTAAAATTATGATAAAATTTGTTTATTTTTGGAGGAGTGTTTCCCTTTTTTTATTTACTCTGTTAAAATGACCTTGTTTAATGCTGCTTTGTTTAGCGCTTTGTCATCTAGGAATACATCCACTGTGTTAAACGGGGTCTTACTGTATTTACATGTTATATCTTTTGTTAAAGTTTTAATATTTTAAAAAAATTCACAATTTTCTTGAACTTTTTGTCACAAGAAGTAGCTAATTAAACAGGATTCTACTATATGAATAAGTAATAAATAATAGATAGGCTATATAAACAATCAATCCACTGACTCAATTTTTAAGTAATGCCAAATGATCTGTTGTGTTATCAGGCTACAATAAGACTGATTTAATAATGAGTTATAAAGCATTTGAATATATGCAGTTAAGCTGTCATTTCATGATTTCATGATAATTTTAATAATTATGATAAATTAATTTTTAATTTAGAATTTTTGGAAGAAAAGAATTGACCCATCTGTACAAGAGTTGTGGATTTGCGTACAGATGTGTTTCAGTTATGCTACCCAGACCTCTGACTGACCATTGCTTCCAGAGCTATTAAATTCTAAATTAAAAATTAATTTATTGTAAATATTAAAATTATTACAAGATAGTGTCTTAACCACCTACCTCTAGACCAGTGGTTCTTAACCTTTTAGTGATGAGAGACCATTTATTAAAATTTTTGTCTGGCCATGGACCACGAGCTGTTTGGTTGTAGTATAGGTTATTATAAGGTTGTTCTATAAATTAAACATATAGAAAATTATTTGGAACCGAGAGTATTATATTATTTGCAAAAGTGCTACATTAATTATATTAATTTAGTGCAATTTTTGTGACTGCATACTGTTTACCAACTGCTGAATTCTTGGTTAAGTGCTACTCAAAGCAAATGCATGTCGGCACTGGCATCCGACCAATTTCGAAGTTTATTTTTAATCATCAAAAGCACTGAGAATTCGTGCTCACATAAATATGTGGTCAAAAATAAAGTTAGGTATTGTAAAGCAATATCTCGAATTNATTTCGATGTTTATTTTTAATCATCGAAAGCACTGAGAATTCGTGCTCACATAAATATGTGGTCAAAAATAAAGTTAGGTATTGTAAAGCAATATCTCGAATTTTAGGGAATGCAATAGCTTTTTGACTCCAAAAATCTTTAAGATTAATTCCTGTCTCGAATGTATCCTTGCAGTTACTATCATGTTGCATTTCAATTAACTCTTCTTGTATTTCATCCAGCACCTCAGAAATGTTGACTATGAAAAGATTAGTTTCCGAATACCTTTGTCCTTGCAGTCAGGAAAATAGCGATTGAATTCATTTTTCAAGCTTTGCAAATGGAATGGAATGTTCTTCTGTATTTGTCCTTTAATCTCAACACACTGCCAATTAATAATTGGGTTCAATGTATCAAATGCAGAAAAATTTTCTCTTTTGACTTTGCTGATCCATAGGTCGATTTTAGCGATAAACGCACTGATTTTATCTTGAAATGCAAATTTATTACTAGTGACTTCCAATTTCATATTTTCTGACCGCGCGCCATACCACAGCCTAGTCCGCTGTCGGCGGCTCTAACCTTGACGTACTGCGCATTGTCATCAACTCGTCGTTTTTTTAAAATAATTTTGGGATAACTTCATGGACCACTTCGGGTGCTTTCAGGGACCACAGGTTAAGAACCACTGCTCTAGACAAATTACTTTATAATTGATTACAGAATTAGCCTTATTGTAGTCCAATAATATAGCAGATCATTTGACATTAATAAATAAAAGATTTTGACAATAACAGAAGAGCCCAGGTACTTTTTTGGTAATGGTCTATCCCAGATATGTTGGCATTCTCCATTGTGGGTCAAACTTACAGTGTGCTTGGGAAAAAAAGCCTTTTTGGTGCCCTTAGGGCAGAAAGTTTTAAAAATGTACATGATAACAGATGCTCTGGTCTTGATATTAAATGAATAAATTCATTACTAAATTCATTCATTCACTATCAAACTCGTATATGTGTTGCTATTAGGATTCAATTTCAAAAAGTTTGTCACAATGAATTAAATTTTTCTTAGTTTAAAGAATGAACTACTACAAAAAATATTTTATGCTATTGTCTGATTGTCAAAGGTGATCTATGTAACTTATTTTTCATTAATTCATAATTAATTCCAAGGACATTATTTTAATATTTTTTTGATCAAAATTGAAGAGGAAATCCATTGAAACAGATACCTTTTTATATTTACTTTCATATTCTGGAATACATTTCATGATGACCCAATCTTTACCTTTAAATTAATTAATTGCCACGGGATGTGTTCTAGAACATGAGAGTGAATAGAAACGTGACTGTTTTAATGGGCTTTGTCTTAAATTTTAATTAATTAATATGGAAATTTCCATGTTGTGATTATTATTACTATTATTTTTTTAAATTAGTACTTTGATTACAAAATTTAAAATTACAATATTCAATAAAAATTAAATATTGTGTAGTAACATCTAAATAACATTAACTGTGTCAATAAAAGTATCATGGGAAATAATAAACAATCAAGAATAAGAAAAGTAACTGGCTTTTAAAAATGAAATTCCAACTAAGAAAAAATGAATTTTACAGATATTTATATACTGAATTGTGAAATATTTTTAATATATATTACCACTAATTCCATAAGAGTATTGCTTTTGATAAATATCTTCTTGAATATCCATTTGTTTATATAATTCATATATATTATTTTTCTTTCTGAAATTGTAATAAAAGATAATACAGTCACTCTTGATAACTTGACCTTCCCTAACTCGAATTTTAGTTTTGTCCCAACTTAACTTCCATAGACTTAATGCATTCTGCATCATGGACTTCTGCATTCTACTCATACAAGTCAAAGTAGTTTTGAGATCAGACAAAACTGATGTCCAAAGATGATTCATGACATTGGAGTAGAAAACAGCAAAGGATATGTAGCTCTTGTTAAAATAATTTGTTTTCAAAAATTTCTTCTGAATAAATTTTAAACAGTGTAAAACTATTCAGAGAAAACATATTTCTTGTTAAATATACCTTTTGAATGATCCATTACATTGTTATAAAAATTAAGCATTTTTTAATGAGGTGCAAATGCACAGTCTTGTGATCTAGATTTAGAAAATCAGACTAGAAAGGGCTAATATATGTCAATTATATTTTTTACAGTTCAAATTGATCGAGGTTTGTTTAATTCAAGTGAATTGGAAAAGAGTCTCTAAAAACAGAGAAAGGAATGCAATACAATACAGTTTGCTTTACAAATGTTGGCTGGACAATGCATACTATTTGAAAAAGCACTCTAGATGTTTTAAAAAGATTTTACTTTTTAAATTTATATTAATTATGATATTAAAACAAACAAAAATATTGTTATGAAATCAATCACTTAAAACCAAACATTCTGTATTATCAGAATGTTTGATTATTCAAGCTGACTTTGATCCACATTAACTTTGATAATCAGGATTCTACTGTAGTATTAATTTTTAATAACTACAAAAGTTTTTTTTTTTTTTTTTTGAATTTAAAATTCTAAAACAAAGTTTCATAATGGGAATTTTATTATTTCAGAGACATCAATCCTCATATTCCACAATATATAGCAACTGCTCCTTGGTACTTTGGTTCTTCCTGTCCCACTCTGAAACATCAGCGACTTCAGCCAGAAAGACGACAAAGTTATACCAAGATCAAAGAACATTTTGTTAGAGGACTAAAGGTTTGTCTAATATAGATATAGAAACTATTTGTATTTATTTACGATTTATCCTTTGCTTATATTTTGTTTTTTTAACCTCAATATGTAACTGGTTCAAACACTGTAATTTTCTAGGAATTACCATGTTTAAGGACTTCATAATTACTACTCAATCAACAGCTTTACCTAATCTAACAACTAATTTCAATATTATTTTCTTAATTGTTTTCACATTGTGTTTTTGCATGATGTTCCTGATATTTTCTGGTAATGTTAACATGGATAACGTAATTCCCTTTCTCATNCATGTTTATGGACTTCATAATTACTACCCAATCAACAGCTTTACCTAATCTAACAACTAACTTCAATATTATTTTCTTAATTGTTTTCACATCGTGTTTTTGCATGATGTTCCTGATATTTTCTGGTAATGTTAACATGGATAACGTAATTTCGTCTCTCATACATACTCTGAAGTACCATATGTCTGTCGTTAATTAATTTAGCTGCAGTTGTTTTATATGGACTCTGTGGCAATATAGGCATAGTTATACTTACAAATTAGCTATGATTTATCCTTTGCTTCTGTTCTGTTTCTTGGGTAAAATAAAGTTGTTCATTGGCTAATAATTACGGAGTCTGTAGATATGATAATTCCTAGAAAATAAGTGCTTGAAATGTTACATATTGACATATTTGTATTTGTTTTTGTAAAATTTAGTTTTTATTTCGGATATTATGATTCTTTTAATTAAAAAGAATTTAATTATTATAAATGTTTAAAGTAAGGTATTAAGAGAAAGAATCAGAAACACACTTAATAATATGGTCAGACTTCCACGTAATTAGTTTGATATTGCAAATTTTTCTTTACATCTGTGAAATGTCGAGTTTACAATTTTTTTTTTTTTGCATTGAAAATGCCACTATTTAATGAAGTTTAATTTCTGGTGAGTGGCTGAAAATACAAGTAGAGCAAATTCAAATTTCTCCATTGAGAAAACTGTGTACTTTTGTACAAAGTAGATTATAAGATTCTGCGACACACATCTGCCATGATACAAATGGATAATAGAGTTTCTTAGGCTTTTACCTTAGGCTGAGGAACTTGTTCCATTTGCATAATGGCAAGTGTTTGTCCACAGAATCTTATAATCTGTTCTGTAGCACAATGTGAAAATTTGGACTTGGTCTATTTGTATTTTAGCTACTCATATAATAAATTTTGTAACTGGATAAATGAAATAAAAAAAACTTATTTCTTACATTGCTAAATATTGAAATTGCTTAAGATCTTGCTTCATTTCTGCAATTGACACCTTTAGGGTTTTTCTTATGGTATAGAGCAATAACTTTACTATGCTGTATTAAAAATTGATGAATGATTGAGATATTCTACTTGAAGATAGTTTCAAATAATAATTTTTTTAATATATTCACAATTGTAAGAAATGGCTTGTTTCAACTAGAAAACATTGTTGACAATAATAAAGTTAGAATTAGTCATTGAAAGTATAAAACAGTTTAAGTAATACAAAAAATGAGTGTGTTTTAGCATTAAATCTTTTTAATAGAGATAAAAGTTTATTATGCATTGTTTATATTTTCAGAAAATATAATATTAATCTGTCCATTAAATCGCAACTATCTTTTAAAATAATAATTCAGGATATTAAAGTTCATTAAAATCACAAACATAGACTATTCAAAATGATATTTTCACTTGTCTTTTTAGAAATTCTAAGCATGATTTTTAATAAAATGCAGTGGTGCCTCATATAACGTATGCCTCGAATAACGGACGCTGCAAACAATGGACTTTGTTTGGTCGTTACGTAACTCGAGCAACGGACTTTCTGCAAACAAGTGCGAGTGATGTTTCCACTCTTTTGCCGTTGTTAATGACAATCTGCTATTTTTATAATATATTAGTATTATTAGAATATATTATTAGTATATCTGAAGTACAGAGCTCACGTTGGGATTTGGCTTGCTCACTTGTTTATTACGTATATCACGTCAGTGCAGGGTATTTACATTTATTCAAGTGTTGTGCAAATCATGGCTTCTAAAAAAAACAAAAGTGATTTCAATTGAAACAAAGCAAAAAATCATCACAAGGAGTGAAAGTTGACAAAAACTTCCTTGTCAAATGGGGCGAGGTTCAGGAGTTTACAAACACTCATTATCCAAACAGAGCTGAGGCCAACAGGATCAACGATTTGTACAATTATACTCTTGCCTCTGATTTCTTACAGGTGTTGAAGAAGAGAGAGAAACAGACTACTTTGGACACGTTTTTTAAGAAGTCAGCTGCCAAAAAAACAAAGGATGGAACAAGAGGAGTTTACCCTGCGAGCCCCAGTAGCCTCTCCTGAATCTTCTGACTGCGATTAAAAAACAATAAAAAGAGACCTGCTGATATGTGTAAAAAGTCTCTTATCTGTATGAATGTGTGAAGAACGTGGTCATCCACCTCCTCACAACATCTGACTACCCGGCATAATTGGTGACTGCTGCATTTTCATTTTTGTTTTTTATGGTACAGTACGGTTATTTTATGCTGCGAAACGAATGATATGTTNTGAATTATGAAATGTTTTTAATATATATTACCACTAATTTCATAAGAGTATTGCTTTTGATAAATATCTTCTTGAATATCCATTTGTTTATATAATTCATATATATTATTTTTCTTTTTGAAATTGTAGTTATGAAAGATAATACAGTCACTCTTGATAACTTGACCTTCTCTAACTCGAATTTTAGTTTTGTCCCAACTTAATTAACTTCCATAGACTCAATGCATTCTGCATCATGGACTTCTGCATTCTACTCATACAAGTCAAAGTAGTTTTGAGATCATGCGTTGCTAGCTTAAAATTTAAATCCAGCAACTTTATTTCATGTCTAATTTTGTGTGCTTTCTTTTGCATTTTCATTGATATTGTGTACCAATTATGCCTGTACACATATAATACATCTCAATGCTCAATGATAAATGGTATTAATAAACCAACAAATGCCTAAATAATCAGGCTATAATATGGCTATAATTAAGTAATAAATACAAATGAATTTGGTATAGAGGTAAGCGTCGGGCGTCATCCCGTATCTAAATTAATAATTATAATTTTTAATAATTTAATAAATAATTTAGAACAGTCTGGAAGAAAATAACTGACCCAGGGTGGGGCTTGAACCCGCAGCCTCCGCTTGCCGTGCGATGTGCTACCAGTTGTGCCACCCGGACCCCAAGCCAGCGATTGCTTCCAGACATACTTAAATTTGGATATAACCTTCCAGACTGTTCTAAATTATTTATTAAATTATTAAAAATTATAATTATTAATTTAGGTAAGGGATGGCATTTAATGCTTACCTCTATACCAAATTCATTTGTATTTATTATTTAATTATAGCCGTATTATAGCCCGATTATTTAGGCATCTGTTGGTTTATTATTATACCTGTAATTGAATAGCATAAAGGTAAATTATAATGGCATTTTGTGCTTAAAGTAATTGTTTTTTTCTTTAAATGCAAATTGACCAATCAAGTCTTTGAATTTTAAAATAATTATTTATTAAATTTTGAAAATTTGACAACGTAACAAATACACCTATGATTTGATGACTGAATTGTTGACCAATCAGATTTGAATTTGTCTATGTGTAGCTTCTTATTTGGAACTAAACATTTATGTTGTATAAATTTTGTTGTAAAATTTGAATTGCATGTTGACATTTTTATTGCTGATAGTGAACAGTTATAATCAGTATGTTGACTGTTTTCATTTTGAAGTAGGTAGAAATGGCACACAAGAGAAAACTAAAATTTGGCAATAGCAGAAAATGTATCCATCAAAAAGAAAGATTGCAGAGAAAGCAAAAAAAAAAATGAAATTGTGAAAGACTGGCATTCCATTAAATACTTGCTGTACCTAGCTGAAAAACATGGAGAGAATCGAATAGAAAAGAATGCATAAATGTGAGCAGCTAGATATCAAAATGTGCAAATGTGCATGCCGAACTGATTTGTATAGTGTAGAGACAAGAATGTTCTCGTTGATGGAAATCTACTTAGAGAAAAAGCCAAACAGTTTGCACTACAGTTGGGTCGTACAAGATTCAACACACACATGAGAAGATGTACAGAATAGTTTTCGGTAAAATCTTTGATGAAAATGCTAAAGTGTGAGAGGTGGACTATGCAACATGGTTTTGCCACAGACTGTACAGAACAATAGGCTGTTTTCAACACAGATGAATGGGCTTATTGTTTTAAGTGTCTCTCAGACAAAACTGATGTCCAAAGATGATTGATTCATTTCATTGGTGTAGAAAACAGAGCAAAGGATATGTAGCTCTTGTTAAAATAATTTGTTTTCAAAAATTTCTTGTGAATAAATTTTAAACAGTGTAAAACTATNGGTGGGTGTATTATCAGAATGTTTGATTATTCAAGTTGACCTTGATCCACATTAACTTTGATAATCAGGATTCTACTGTAGTATTAACTTTTAATAATTACAAAAGTTGTTAATTTTTTTTTTTTCTAAAATTTAAAATTTTAAAACAAAGTTTCATAATGGGAATTTTATTATTTCAGAGACATTAATCCTCACATTCCACAATATATAGCAACTGCTCCTTGGTACTTTGGTTCTTCCTGTCCCACTCTGAAACATCAGCGACCTCAGCCGGAAAGACAACAAAGTTATACGAAGATCGAAGAACATTTTGTTAGAGGACTAAAGGTTTGTCGAATATAGATATAGAAACTATTTGTATTTATTTAAGATTTATCTTTTGCTTCTATTTGGTTTCTTTAACCTTAATATGTAACTGGTTCAAACACTGTAATTTTCTAGGAATTATCATGTTTATGTACTTCATAATTACTACCCAATCTAATAACTGACTTCAATATTATATTTTTAACTGTCTACACATTGTGTTTTTGCATGATGTTCCTGATATTTTCTGGTAATATTAACATGGATAACGTAATTCCCTCTTTCATACATACTCTAAAGTACCATTGTCTGTCCTTAATTAATTTAGCTGCAGTTGTTATATATGGACTTTGTGGTGATATAGGCATAGTTATACTTACAATTTAGCTATTATTTATCCTTTGCTTCTGTTCTGTTTCTTGGGTAAAATAAAGTTGTTCATTGGCTAATAATTACGAAGTGTGTGGATATGATAATTCCTAGAAAATAAGTGTTTGAAATGTTACATATTGACATATTTGTATTTGTTTTTGTAAAATTTAGTTTTTATTTTGGATATTATGATTCTTTTAATTAAAAAGAATTTAATTATTATAAGTGTTTAAAGTGAGGTATTAAGAGAAAGAATCAGAAACACACTTAATAATATGGTCAGACTTCCACGTAATTAGTTTGATATTGCAAATTTTTCTTTACATCTGTGAAATGTCGAGTTTACAATTTTTTTTTTTTTGCATTGAAAATGCCACTATTTAATGAAGTTTAATTTCTGGTGAGTGGCTGAAAATACAAGTAGAACAAGTTCAAATTTCTCCATTGAGAAAAGTGTGTACTTTTGTACAAAGTAGATTATAAGATTCTGCGACACACATCTGCCATGATACAAATGGATGATAGAGTTTCTTAGGCTTTTACCTTAGGCTGAGGAACTTGTTCCATTCGCATAATGGCAAGTGTTTGTCCACAGAATCTTATAATCTGTTTTGTAGCACAATGTGAAAATTTGGACTTGGTCTACTTGTATTTCAGCCACTCATATAATAAATTTTGTAACCGGATAAATGAAAAAAATCTTATTTTTTACATTGCTAAATATTAAAATTGCTGAAGATCTTGATTCATTTCTGCAATTGACACCTTTAGGGTTTTTCTTATGGTATAGAGCAATAACTTTACTATGCTATATTAAAAAGTGATGAATGATTGAGATATTCTACTTGAGGATAATTTCAAATAATAATTTTTTTAACATATTGACAATAATAAAGTTAGATTTAGTCATTGAAAGTATAAAACAGTTTAAGTAATACAAAAAATGAGTGTGTTTTAGCATTAAAACTTATTAATAGAGATAAAAGTTTATTATGCATTGTTCATATTTTCAGAAAATATGGTATTACTCTGTCCATTAAATCACAATTATCTTTTAAAATAATAATCCAGTACATTAAAGTTCATTAACCTATTCGATGTTGAAATTTTTGTGTGTTGCCTGTGACGCCATGTTGAATTTTCGTCGATGTTAAGCCTAAATTTTTTTTTTTAATAATAATCATGTTTACTGTATCGTAAAAAATTATTTTTTTATGTTTCACAAACAAAATATATTTATCAAATAATATAAAAACGAAAAAAAATTTATTTTAGAAGTTTATTATAATATAAAAATTGTGACGCGAAGCGACATCTAGTATCAAAAACGTTTCGATGTAAACACGGAAATTTTCGGGTTTGCCCACGCAGGTCAATGAGGTCGACCCGAAAATTTTCGGGATCAACGTAGGACAGGTTAAAATCACCAACATAGACTATTTAAAATGATATCTTCACTTGTCTTTTTAGAAATTCCAAGCATGGTTTTTAATAAAATATTTTGATGTTATATTGGAGGAAATGAAAGACATAAACATATAAATAATGGAGAACTGTTTATATGTTGCATAACTATTTCTTGTTCACTTTGCTGAAAAATATTTATATAATTGTATTAAAAATNGGAAACAGTTTTAGTATTTTATTAGGAAATCCGTCATATCCCGGGGCCGATTTATTTTTGAGCCTCTTGATACATAATTGAAGTTCTTGAATATTAAATATCTCTTCCATTGGTGCCAACCCAGATTCTTCCAATTTTTCCATTCTAGTATTAGCCAATTTCTCCTTATATCTAGTCGAAAAATTATCAAAATATTTATTCCATTCGTCTATTGGTATATTAACTGACCTTTTCCAATGTTCAACAGATCGTCGAAAACTATTGATCACTTCCCAAAATTTTTTGGAATCTTTAGTTTCTATTAAATATTTATTTAAGTTTGCATAATACCTTTTTCTTTTAGCTTTTATCAACTGATTATAAATTCTTTTGTGAATGGTTGTCTCTTTAATCCGACAAATTCTTTCGGTAGACTATCTTACAGCATCAGGTTAATGAATTCTTTTATTATATTTTACATATGCATTTCGAACTGGTTTCATATTTCCAGTTCATTTTCAGTGCTCTATAAATTACAATTATAGATATTAAGTTGACAAAAAATATATACAGATTAAAAATCTACAAAGTATTTAGATGTTAAGTAACACAACATAAACACATTACTAGTACCTTTAAGGATTTTACACATTTTTTTTATCCTCAGTTGTACATTGATACGGTACTCTCATTTATTACGTTATATTGTCTTTCTTGGTATGAATCGCAGTATGACTTAACAACTGCTATAATCAATAATAACACAATTATAAAAATCATAAAATTTAGTGACATACATGTAATTTAAAACAACTTATAAAGTTTTCAAAAAATATACGTACAGGTTTTCTTCTTCTTTGAAAAATATTCTACTAAACCAACAGTACTGGGCGTAAAATGTAATATTATGAAAATATTGCTATAAATGACAAACAATGATAAAAACTAAGTGATAAAAATCTCTAAAAAAGAAAGGAAGTTTTTTCCTTTTACAAAAAATATACATATGGACCTTTTTTTTTGTTTTGATATTCCTTGAAAATGATTTCATTCATCAATTTTAGGCTTAAATCCGCAATATAATTAAACATTGCTACAAATAACAATATACAATAACAATATAATTATAAACCTCGTAACAGATAAGTTGTACAAATATTTCTACAAAAATATACATACAGGTTTTCTTCTTTTTTCATATTTTTTGAAAATATTTTATTAAATACTACTTATGTATTGTAAAAAATTCACAAATGTTAATTTACACAAGGTAATTTACACACAGTAACTTTTACAACATTTAGTGTTTATGCCTCACTCTATCGGTTTATTGCTGCGCCCTCTATGATGTCGTACCATTGTTGTTCTATTTGCATGCCATTAGAGATATTTACTAAATTATTGTTATTATGTTTTACAATTTCAATATGTTCTTTAAATTTTCTTTTATATATATTTTTTTCTGTGTGTAAGATTTTAATATTATTTCTATCAATTTTACATTTACTATTTTTAATATGGTTATACCAGGGAGAATTGTTATACTTCAATCTAATGGCTGCTTCATGTTCTTTAATTCTAGTTTTTAAGGCACATCCAGTTTCACCTATATAATTTTTCGGGTTTTGGCAATTACAATAAATCCTATAGACTACTACTGTTTTTTAATATACAGTATTAGACTTGTTTGTCTTTAATCTATTAAAGATAATATAGGATTATTTAATAAAACGGAAAAAGAAGAAAACCTGTATGCTATGTTTTATAGTAATTAATAATATAATTTAATAGCATGATATATGTTTTTGATAGAAACTACTACTAAATTGTAAATTTTAGTATGTAATGACTCAATACTCAGAAAAATAAATTTATACTTGCTTTGTTAACATCAGTAGGAATTGAATGATTCCTTTGTGTGAGAATACGAGGGCACAGCATCAATTCCTAATTGCCTCTTACACGTTGAGTTGGTAAAACTCGCCCACTTTGTCTTTTGGATGGCTTTCTAGCGAGTGGCGAGGGAGGTGAGCAAGTCAGCAGGCTTCCTTTCAAAGACAGGAGACAGGGTTAACAAATAATGAAATAAAGGTTTATTATATGGCTAACACTAAAATACAGGATGCCACACAGAGTTACATGCATATATTTCTAGGTTATATAGGCTAGATGAGATTAACATAAAATTACAAAGTCTATGATTGACAACTGCTTAGTCTACTCTATGACGGCTATTCCTACTTTGGTTACGAGAGAGAGAGTTTGCTGTCCACTGATAATTATCTCTAAAGTTGGAGGAGTGCTATAGCAGTGATAACAGTTCTTTGTGGAAGCATTGGGCGTTGTCGATGTCTTCTACTGGTGTCTTCTCTGAAGACTAGGTCAAGTCTGTTTCATGGAGGTGCTAGAGACAGGGAACCACTAAAACCAAATATAACTTGTGTGTGTGAACTCTCGAGCTTCCGGTCGCTTGCACCTTTTATATGATTGTCGTGGGAAATCTAATAAGTGATCGATTTTTGTTGACGATGAAGATGCAATCTTGACAGCCACTTGTCAACTTTCCCACTGACTTGTTACTACAACTGATGACCTCTGATCTAATTTCTACTTCTCTATTTTTATCTAACAAAGATGTTTACATTTTGAAAACAATTAACATTAATTTTTTAAATTTAAGAGCCCTGTAAAAATCTACGGGCTCACATCTGTTATAAATATGAATAAAGTAATGAAAATTTTACTTATAATTCAATGAATTATAACTTAGTTATAATTTCTTATTGATTAGCTTTTAATATAAATCTTTGAATTTTCAATAATATGGGTGTGTATATAAATGTATGTGTCTAATTTTCTTTCTTCTATTTTAGCGGCCAAGAAAAATTGGTGCCAAATTCACAAATGAAGATATTGCCGAAGATGAAGTTATTTTGCCAGATTTAAATTTGGACTACGATGGAAAGAGAGATCGATGGAACGGATATGACCCTGCAAATTATCAAGCCATTGTGNAATCTTTGAATTTTCAATAATGTGGGTGTGTATATAAGTGTACATGTCTAATTTTCTTTTTTCTGTTTTAGCGGCCAAGAAAAATTGGTGCCAAATTCACAAATGAAGATATTGCCGAAGACGAAGTTATTTTGCCAGATTTAAATTTGGACTACGATGGAAAGAGAGATCGATGGAACGGATATGACCCTGCAAATTATCAAGCCATTGTGGAAGAATTTGCAAAAGTCGAAGAGGTAAATTTATAGAAATATATTATTACAAGCTTAAAAAGCAGGACTGTGGATGTGGAGTTGTGTAAAAATCTTCTGACTCCAACTCTGACTGCTTTATCATCTGACTCCAACCAGGGGCAGACTCGTTACCAAAATAGACCCAGAAATTCTGATGTCATCACTTGACCTCAGAATAAAATATTCTATAAATAGAGTTCTAATAAAGATAGAATGTAGAATCTTTTTTATTTAAAGCTAAAAGACTCCTCTAAGTAATGACAGTCAATATATAAATATGTATTCAATAATACTTACTTTTCCAGCTGTTATATGTAACAGAGGGAATGGGAAGGTGTCAGGAAAATGACCCCCTTTCAAATTTTTACATTTTTGGACTCGGGACATCTTGAAATGTCGAGATATGAAAAAGATTCTGTTTTTTTCTGTATGTGTGGACTGTGTGGGGGGCACAGTTTTGGTCACTCTGTTTGTAGCCTAATACTTGTGGTTTTTAAATTGAAGTTGGATGGTTTAACTTGGGAGGTATTAAGCTTCAAAGTGGTTGAACTAAATCGTTCTATCATACACATTCTAACATCTGAGACAAGATCATCTTAATGTGTTTTACTGTACTAATATATCAATAAAATGACAAAAAGCTTAATTTTGAGGATAGAGACGAGTTTTATTTTTAAAAAAATTGTGAACACTAATAATGAGTAAAATAATAATAATAATAAACAACACTTTTTGTCCACGACTATAAATTAGAGAAAAATATTCATTAAGTTTGATCGTACTGGCGATACGACACATGATCCCTTCTATGTCTTCACCCTGTTGACCTTTAATTAAGAACCAAAATTTAGTAGCGTTAATGCCCCTTTATACACAAGCTATACAAATTTAGTTTCTTAAACTTTACCCATTCTGAGATATTGTTTAATATCTCAGAATAGAGAATAAAGAAATTAAACAAATTAGATGCCAACACATGTGCAAATTTTTCCCCTTTGACATTTTTTTGGGTTCAGGAGGTTTCCGAATGTGTAGATTTGCAAAATTATTGGAGGGTCAAATTTGACATGATTCTAATACTTTTCTGTTTTATATACATAACAAGTTGGGAAATAAAATGGAGTCGGAGTTTGCTGGATTTTTTGACGATTTCGACTAAAACACCAAAACTCAACGACTCCAGCTCTGACTCCAACTTCACAGCCCTGTTAAAAATTTAAAGGAAGAATCCAACATTAACTATAAATATGTAGTTTTATTACTTTTAATTTTCTGAAATTATATATTAAGTATGGAAATCAATAATTGTTGCAAGAAATGATTGATGCATGAACTTTAAATTTAATTTTTATGTCTATTGATATAGAAGTACAGTACATTAAAACAAAAAATATATGGTAAAAAGGTAAGCAAATATGATACAGTAAACTACATAAATTTGGAAATTCATAATTAATGTTTCTTAATTTTTTCTGAGAATCATAGTCCATTGATTTTACTACATATCTGTAGTAAAATCAATGGACTATGATGATTCAGAAATAAAAATGATAAAAAAAAAAGCATCTATCATTGTAAAATTGCCATATCACATGTAAAATTTCTAGTGGTGATAATTTGACAAATGTGAAGATTATAAAGAAAACAATAAAGAAAATGGTTAGATGGTATATGAGAAATTTTTTATGCTACTCCTAGTAGTCTGATTTCTCTTTAAGACAATTAAACATTTATAAACTTTATTTTTCTTAATCAAAGTGATTGATTCTTGACAATTGTTTGGTCAAGATTCTAACACAGTTTGAAGAACTGAACAGCAATACATAATAATAAAGCTGAAAGTAAATGATATTTTCTAGAAAAATTTGTTCTTTGTACAGAATGCTTGCTTTAAATTTATGTAATTAAATTGTTTAAAAAGCAAAAATAAAAGTGTTCGAATAAATATTTTTCAAGTGATTGATGATTATCATGTTTAAATTTGTGAAGTTATGAATTAAAACAGATCCAACAGATATAAATTAGAATAATTTAATGTGATTATGCTAAAATTAGTCTGCCTGTAAGTATATCAGTCTGACTAGTAGAATTATAAGCTATGATTTATAATATTTATATAATATACAAAACTACCTATCATCCAATTAGTATGAATCATCCTTTTCTATTAGAAATCAGAAATTTTTACATTTGTTTGATGATAAGTTTAAAATGTAAGTGTAGAGAAAAAAGTTTAATTTTTAAAGTCAAAATAGTTTCAACTATAATTGATTTGAATGAAATTATTATATAATTTTCAATAAATTAAATATTTTTGAGGAATTTGAGAAGATTCTATAATGTCATTTATTGATTATTCATTTTAAAACAGGCTAAAAGGCAATTAAAAGAGGAAAAATTAAAGCAAGATCTTTTATCTGGTGAAGTTAGCACTATAAAGGAAACAGTAAGTAATATCAAGCAATTTTACTTTAGTTATTAATTTTTACAGAATGTACATTTTTTATTCAAGAGAAAATGAAGTGCTTTTGGAATATGGAAAATTTTAATATCAAAATAAAATTTTATTAGAACTTTTTAAAATCTCATACATAAAATAGCTTTTTGTACTTTAAAATGTATAACAATAGGCAGTTAGGGGTCCATCTTGTATTAAATTTTTTAATAACTGCATTAATTTTAAATTAAATAATTTAGACTATATAGTACAATTGCCAAATTGTCTATCTTTAGTGCAAATTATATATATTATAGTGATTAGCTAGGTTATAGTTTAAAAGTTAATCCAGACGTATCTTTTTCTTTAATAATAATAATAATAAATTAATAATTAACTGGCCATAATTTAATTTAACATAGAATAATGATGGTGATACAGATGATGATGAAGACGAAGAAAAATACGCCGACAATGCAGACATGCCGGGTACAAAAGTTGACAGTAAACAACGAATTACTGTTCGTAATTTACGTATAAGAGAAGATATTGCAAAAGTAAGGTTAATTTAAATATAGAATACTGTATAGTTAAATGATACATGTAGAAAGATAAATTTGAAAAATTATTTTCAATTTTTAGTATTTGAGAAACTTAGATCCAAATTCTGCATACTATGATCCAAAAACAAGAGCCATGAGAGATAATCCATATCAAGGAAGAAAAAATCCAGAAGAGTAAGTATACTCAAATTATTTATATTTGATACTGTTCAAAATTCTGAAATACAAAGTCTTGGAGGTGCAAAACTCCCATATTTGACTTGATATTCAGAAATGTTGAAATTTTGATATGAAGTCTAATATGAAAATAAGTCATAAGGCAATTTCTTGACATGAAAAAATCTTAGAACAGTTGTCAATAATGAATGGCAGATTTAACTAACCATAACCCAACATCCCAAAAAATGTTCAATTTGTTAATGAAAACTATTTCTGGGCTTTTTGATAATTTGTTTTTAAAACAACAACATTGTTCAGTTTATATTAGAGTCAAATATCACAACAGTCACTGTCAAGAATGGTGTTAATAGAATGTCTGTGTTGTCATTTTAACAAGTGAAGATTTGCAATTTCAGGATTTTAAAATGGATCTATTCATTTGATATATGTTAAAAAATATCAATTTAAAAAATTTTTAATGTTTAGTATGATTGTAGCCTTATTACTACTAAATATGCTAGTTATAGCTTTCACTTCTACTTTCCCGACTGTTATGTATACATAACAAGGGAAAGTAATGGAATCATGTCAAATTTGACTTTCCAAATTTTTTTGCAAATTATGTTTTGAGATCCCCTGAACCAAAAAAGTTCCAAAAAAAAAAAAAGGTAAAAAAATTCCGCTTGTGTTTTGCGTGTTTGCATTTGCTTTGTTACTTTGCTTAACCTATCCAATGTTGAAATTTTTCTCCATTGCGTGTGGCCGCCATGTTGAATTTNTGCAATTTTAGGATTTCAAAATGGATCTATTCATTTGAGATATGCTAAAAAAATATCAATTTTAAAAATCTTTAATGATAATGCATTTGTTCAAAAAATAAACATTATTATTTTAATTTTATACATTTATAAAGATATATAAAATACATTGATTTTATCGAATAGTAAAGAATGCTTGGAATAAGATTGAAACAATTTTATTGGCTAAATTTGACAAAATCCATGTCAATATGCAAATTTTTGAATTAACTGCAGAAACTACATTTTATTTTGTTCAAGAAAATCTTAGTAGGAGTTAAGTTCAAGTAACATGTTCAAAATTCTAGGTCCTGTTTCAAACTGTGATAGAAATGAAATTATATGATTTCGTAATTTTCATGTCAAAAGAAGCAAAATGCCATTGTCAAATATTTTAAAAACTAAAAACATTGATATAGACCAAAATTTTGGAAAGGAGGTCTGAAGAAATAAATGAAAAGGATGAAAGGAAGGTTTAGATCAGGGGTTGCCAAAGTGGTCGAAATCGACCCCCCAGGGGTTGATGCAACATCATTGGGGGTCGATTAGGGGGTCGATGTGGCTAGTGGGTTGATTAGGGGGTCGATGCGGCTAAGGGATCACAACTTTTTTTTTTTTTTGCTCATACAGAGATCACATTTTTTTTTTTTTTTTTTTTGCTCGTACACTTTCACTTGCGATAAAGCTTTACGGTGGGGGTCAATGTGAGGTTTTGGAAAGTGGTTGGGGGTCTATGGTTAAAAAAGTTTGGCAACCCCTGGTTTAGATGAAGTTTGCAAAGAAGCCAGAGATTTCTATCTGCAGGCTGCTCTAGAACTGAAACTTACAAAATCAATGGTGTAAGAAATAAAGCAGAAAGACTTCTGATTGATTATAACAAAAAATCAATCTCAAAATACCAAAACAATCAAGCAATTTGGGCAAAACATAAATCTAGTAGTGGATTAAAACTTACCATGGATGATGAGTCATACTTTTTCTTGGATTCAGATCTTTGTGGGGCTATAAAGTACTGTTATTCAGCTTTCTCCAATTCTGGTTCTGTCAGATTCAGAATTCAAGTGAAAGAAAAATTTCTGCGTAATATAATGAGGTGGCATAACATGGATAAAGACAGATAAATATCAAAATCAGCATTTATACAACGAAGTGTGAGTGGTTTGATTTATTTATATCGATGCATAAAGAAAATTATGATCTCACTTGTCAGGCATTATTATCAAATACAGGATGTTTTATTATGGTTTGATTTGGCATAAATAAAATGACATTTTATTTAGGGAAACAAAATTAAGCACTTTGAATTGTTATTTCAGTTATTTTGTAATTGTTACTTCATCTCCTACAAATATTTAGAAAACTGGTCCTGAGTAAAGTCACAGGAAAATCTTTTTAAAGAAGTTAAACTGAGGACCAGTTTTTTCAAAGAATTGTCAAGAGGGGTTTAGACCAAACTGCATGCAAAAGCAACAATTCAAAGTGATTAATTTTTCCATATTATTTTAAACACATCTTGTATGATAGGTCCTGCATTTGTGAAGTTGTGAGATTTAAGAAGTACAACAATAAGCTTTGAACACAACATAATTTTAGTTAACATCTGTATTAATTCACTTAAAATTCTTATGACATCCTGTGATGTATATGCCAGGGAAACCAAAACAAAGAGGCTATGTGTTGTGAGTTACATTATACTACAGTCTGCCAAAATCAAAACTGGCCAGTTTCAAAAATAGCCAATTTTTTGGTAATTTCGGATTTCTGGAAGTCGGATATTTGATTTTGTACTATAAAATAAATTAAAAGTTGGCATCAGTTGCAATCAAGATAGAATGTTTATAGATCATTCACTTTTTTCTTCCATTAGTTATAAAAGAGAAAAATCAAATATTGTGTAATATTTGATGATCAGAGTAAATTTGAATAATAAATATGTTACTGTTAATCCTCTGAGGTAAGTGTCTTGATGACAGTAAATGAACAACCTTAAAAATTACTACAAAAGACAAAATTCTGTTTTAAAATCTGCTTGTAAATATTCTGAAACAGTCTTCATAGACATCTCAAACAGATCAATCATGACCTATTTTAGATACTAATGAAATATGGTTTATTGATTTCTATCATCATGAGGAATTTGTTCAAATTTTAAAATTGAAAAATTTGTGGTTATTTTAACAATATTGTGAAAGTCTCTGCACTACTTGAAATACGCATAATAATGATAGGCTTTTTTCATTCATACAAACATAATATTGGCTGCTGATAAAAAGAGTAGTAACGAAAGCTTATGATGTAATAATGGGCTTAATTTAAAAATTGAACATTTATTTTAAGTATTTAAGATAGCCAATCATTTAGAATTATACTATCACTCTTGGTTAATCTGATAAAACGTTTTTCTTAGTGTTGAAAGATTACATTCTACAAGATATTTTTAATATATAAATATTAATTTTTAAACAAATTATAGTTTTTTTAAATTTAGTCTAAAAATGCAATATTTTAAGGAAAACATGATGATAGTATTTAAAAATAATGTTTAATTGTTTTATTATTAGGTTACAGTATGCTGGAGATAATTTTGTTAGAGTTACCGGAGATACAGAAAAACATTCTCGGACACAGGGTAAATTTTCTCTCTTTTTCTCTTTTAGTTTAGGTGAATTAAAGTTTAATTTTATGCAAAAGTAAGTCATAGTCATTTCTAGTTGTATAAAATACAATCTGAATTGAAAAACAAAGACAGAATTAATTTCATAATTTTTGTTTATTTAATCAATGAGTTACATTACAATTTATTTAATAATACATGACTTATTGAAATATTGTAATTCATAGGAAAATAAAATATGACATTGATAAGGACCTACTTTGTTTTTCTTTTGCTTTAGGTACAGAATAACTATATTCACAAATTATATTCCTATACATCTTTCTGCAAAACACACACCCACTTTTTTACACCCAAGAAAAATTGTTTCTTTTATCTGGATATATGAATACAGTATTTACTGAAAAAAAATATTCTGAGATCTGTATTCAGAAATAATGAGCAAAAAACACTGTTTACTTATATTATTATTTGTAACAAATAAACAAACTTTATGGTAACAACTAGAAACTGCAACAGTAGATATTTAGACAGTACAAACAATCTCTGTGCACAGCAAAACCTTTTAATTACCAACCTTTTTGATTATTTTGAATGACCATCTTCAGGTAAGATAAAGAATTGAATGATGCATAAAATGGAATGCTTACAGAGGACTAATGTTCCATTTGACACATTGATTTAGTAACTGTGTAACAGAGTAATAGTAAAAGGGCATCTTTGCCAAATGCTGTTCAGTTCTATCCAATGCAATCAATACTCGTATTTGTTTTTGTCTGTTTGTCAGATTCATAATGGAACTTTTCTTGGCTAAACCTCTGAAAGTACTCTGCAGCTTTCCAGGGAAACTGTGGAGTGGGGAAGAAAGCTGGAAAACAATCCAAACTGAGGCCATCAATACACCTTCAGTTTTTGTATCAAAATGTAGAAACCAGACATATCATCATTTCAGACAGACTGTCATTTGTGTTTAGAGTAAACCTACTTTAATCTTCAGAACATTTGAGGATTTTGCAACTTCAATGAAATTAAATAAAACTAATTTTTGTACAGAAAGTTTGCATTAAAATGTTTTTCATTTCAAAAGACCAAGAAAGGCTTACATTTCACTTATAATGCACTCCAACCAGTATGATAATTTGGGGTCAACTGTAAAAAAATTTATGGTTTCACTCCATAATTTTATGCTAATTACACACCTTAGATCATTAAAGGGTTAGTTTTTTCATCTTAGCACACCTTGGGTATGTTATACAGCATATGCTGGACATGTTAAAGTGTATAGATTTTATTTTATTTTATTATTAAGTTGAACACTTTTTCCTTCTTAGAGAGTACTGAGGTCCAGAATATGTTGTTAGTTTGTATTAATTAGTTTCATAGTGGGCTCATAACATTAAACTAGTCACTGTAATAGGGTTCATAAGGTTATGTATAATTATTATCTATATTTATTTTATTAAAATGTGTGTGGGAATATGTTAATTATTATAATTTTTAAGTTATTTTTACATTGAACACACATATAAGAAAGACTAGTGTGTTAGTAAATAACCAAATCTAACTTTTTAGTTTGTCCAAGGTTGCAGAAGAAAGGAAGGCAACTGTAGCTAAATCAATGATAGATTGAGGCATGTTAAATGTTAAAAATCAACTGTTTCATGTTACGTATAAAAGTTACAAAAATTTCTAAGCCATGAAGTTAAAAATTTAAAATATATAACACTATAGATTGTTTGAATATTACATGGAAAATACAAGTTTATTCTATCTCTTGGTATAATTTTCTGTAACAGCTTGTTTCTTGTATAAATCTGTAATAAAATCCAAAAAATCATTCGTTAAAAACATTAATTTTATTTAATTAAAACAGAACAGAATTTTCAGTTTTTGAAAAATGATTTTATAATCATTTATGAAGAATAGAGGCAATAAAATAAAATGATTAAGACAGCAAATAAGGCATTTCTTTTCGTTTTCTTCAGGTCACTACCAGTATTTTCTGACATATTTAGCAATTTCTGAACTAGATAGCATTACAAACATTAAACAAATTTAAAATAAAAATGGTAATATATAATAAAAAGCAATTATTTTTAGATTTAATTAATTTTATATTCTGTACAGTCAAATTAAAAAATCTCGTAAATATATAAATATGTAGAGTACTATATAATTAATTATTAATGCTATTGCAAGGATCATTTAAATATTTAAATTATTTAAGATTAATACTTCATTTTAAAACATGTATTGACACAAGAATTTCTGACAAGTATTTTAAAGTTATTTTATTAATTACAAAAAAGCTCTGAAGTTTAATTTATAAACATTTATAATTTTTCTAGTGTTTGCTTGGGAAGCATATAGAAAAAACGTGGACGTCCACCTCCAGTCTGAACCTACAAGGGCTGAACTTTTGTATAAGGAGTTCGAAGTTAAAAAACAGGAATCTAAATGTAGAATAAAAGAAAATATTCTTGACAAATATGGTGGAGGTGAACATTTGCAAGTCCTTCCAAAGGAACTCATCTTTGGGCAATCGGTAATTATCTTAATATTATTTTTGTATTTCCACAAAATATATTTTAAGTCTATTGATGATATAAAAAATTATAATTTGCACTGACACAATAATGATAAGCACACAAAAATGTAGATATAATATTCTTCTAATGCAACATTCGCATTTTTCACAGAACTACTAAGCTTTCCCTAAACTTCAAAAATAAAATGTTTGTATGCAATTCTTATAATATAAGCTGAGTAAATATGAAGAACCATTGGATTGGTTTAATAATTTGATTTTATTATTACTTCATATTTCAGCAATAGTACTTTAAGGTTTCAAATCTCAACCTTATATCTAACTTTAGATACATAAAGTTTCACAATTTGACAAAACAAACTTGTTAACAATGAAAAATTTAAATGTCTACAAAATTTACAATATTTAGTTTATAATTAGCAAATTTTTGTTAAAGTTGAATTAATACTAATATGTTAGGTAATACAACAGTAAATGTAGAGAGAAAAAAATTCACTTAGTTCTAACAGAATTATTTTTAAACATACAAAGCAAAAGAATTTAGACTTTAATAATTGGTTATTTTAAAAAAAAGTCGGATGTCTTGAATTTTGTTCTTATGCAGGCAGAAGTCAACAACTATTGTGTGTTAAAAAACATTAATTTCCTTCTACCTGACAAATAAAATTGTGCTGTTCTGTACCATCTGAGTATTGTTTTCTTAGCAAGTTGATATCTGATTGCATTTGTTTTTATTTTTGTTATAAGAATTTAAATAAAATTCATTTTTTTCTACTTCAAAATAGATTTTTTTTTCCTTATATTTGTTTTATTTTTTATATTTTTTTCTTACTGTAATTATTTTATTTACTACTTTGTGATAAACAGGACAATGGTAAGCTAATGTTAACACCATTGTACTACAGCATCTATTATATTCACAGTCAAATATCAAAAGGAAATCAAGTTTCATGAAAAATGGACCAAATATTTAAACTCTCACATCACAAATTAAATCTTCAGAAATCTGAGAACCACATTGTTAAACCACTTATAAACCACACACTTATAAACCACATTGTTTTACCACATTGTTTTTCTCTGAAATGTTGATGATAATATTATTGTTGCTTAATCTTTTCTGGATTGTGTTTCTGTTTGTTCAAATTTATTTAGTGTTACTGTGGCTATATTTTTATTGGTATGTCAGCAGGAAAACACGTTTAGAGTATAAAGAAATCAAGTATTAAAATTATATATAAATTATTGATGATTAATTTTTTATATAAAAACTGTACATAATTTACTAAATATTAATGTTTTTGATAAATATTTCAGGAGGATTATGTAGAATATTCTCGGCATGGTGTCATTTTGAAAGGAACTGAGAAACCGGTAGTTCGATCTAAATATGAAGAAGATGTTTTTATCAATAATCATACAGTAAGTAGGTCTGTTTTATATTTCAAATCACCGAAATACCGTTTACTTTTTCATAGAGAAAATTAAAATAAAATGTAATATTCCATATGCAATATTACAATTACCTAATCTTTGATTAAGAGATTAATGTTTATATGGGAAAATATGGAATCTTGGAACCTATTTCCCTATTTCCAACATATATTTTAGTATCTTTGAAAAGATAAATTGTCACCTATTTCCAACATATATTTTAGTTTTTGGCTTAAATTATTTTGATTTATGCAAAACTCACCAAACCAACTAACCTTTGTAAATCAAGAGCTAGGTTTATATCACTTTTTCATATTATAGAAATTAATGTTTCTATGAAAAAATATAGAATCTTGGAACCTATTTTTATATTTCCAACATATATTTTAAATTTCGGCTTAAATTATTTTGATTTATGTTAAACTCACCAAACCAACTAACGTTTGTAAATCAAGAGCTAGGTTTATATCACTTTTTACTTTTCATTAAGAAAATTAAAATAAAATGTAATATTCTATATGCAATATTACAATTACCTAATCTTTGATGAAGAAATTAATGTTTATATGGGAAAATATAAAATCTTGGAACCNTCTACAAGATATTTTTAATATATAAATATTAATTTTTAAACAAATTATAGTTTTTTTAAATTTAGTCTAAAAATGCAATATTTTAAGGAAAACATGATGATAGTATTTAAAAATAATGTTTAATTGTTTTATTATTAGGTTACAGTATGCTGGAGATAATTTTGTTAGAGTTACCGGAGATACAGAAAAACATTCTCGGACACAGGGTAAATTTTCTCTCTTTTTCTCTTTTAGTTTAGGTGAATTAAAGTTTAATTTTATGCAAAAGTAAGTCATAGTCATTTCTAGTTGTATAAAATACAATCTGAATTGAAAAACAAAGACAGAATTAATTTCATAATTTTTGTTTATTTAATCAATGAGTTACATTACAATTTATTTAATAATACATGACTTATTGAAATATTGTAATTCATAGGAAAATAAAATATGACATTGATAAGGACCTACTTTGTTTTTCTTTTGCTTTAGGTACAGAATAACTATATTCACAAATTATATTCCTATACATCTTTCTGCAAAACACACACCCACTTTTTTACACCCAAGAAAAATTGTTTCTTTTATCTGGATATATGAATACAGTATTTACTGAAAAAAAATATTCTGAGATCTGTATTCAGAAATAATGAGCAAAAAACACTGTTTACTTATATTATTATTTGTAACAAATAAACAAACTTTATGGTAACAACTAGAAACTGCAACAGTAGATATTTAGACAGTACAAACAATCTCTGTGCACAGCAAAACCTTTTAATTACCAACCTTTTTGATTATTTTGAATGACCATCTTCAGGTAAGATAAAGAATTGAATGATGCATAAAATGGAATGCTTACAGAGGACTAATGTTCCATTTGACACATTGATTTAGTAACTGTGTAACAGAGTAATAGTAAAAGGGCATCTTTGCCAAATGCTGTTCAGTTCTATCCAATGCAATCAATACTCGTATTTGTTTTTGTCTGTTTGTCAGATTCATAATGGAACTTTTCTTGGCTAAACCTCTGAAAGTACTCTGCAGCTTTCCAGGGAAACTGTGGAGTGGGGAAGAAAGCTGGAAAACAATCCAAACTGAGGCCATCAATACACCTTCAGTTTTTGTATCAAAATGTAGAAACCAGACATATCATCATTTCAGACAGACTGTCATTTGTGTTTAGAGTAAACCTACTTTAATCTTCAGAACATTTGAGGATTTTGCAACTTCAATGAAATTAAATGAAACTAATTTCTGTACAGAAAGTTTGCATTAAAATGTTTTTCATTTCAAAAGACCAAGAAAGGCTTACATTTCACTTATAATGCACTCCAACCAGTATGATAATTTGGGGTCAACTGTAAAAAAATTTATGGTTTCACTCCATAATTTTATGCTAATTACACACCTTAGATCATTAAAGGGTTAGTTTTTTCATCTTAGCACACCTTGGGTATGTTATACAGCATATGCTGGGCATGTTAAAGTGCATAGATTTTATTCTTTGTTTTCATTAAGTTGGATACATTTTTATTTTCAGAGAGTACTGAGGTTTAGAATATGTTGTTAGTTTGTATTAATTAGTCTCATAGGCTCATAACATTAAACTAGTTGCTGTAATAGGGTTCATAACGTTATGTATAGTTATTATCTATATTTATTTTATTAGGGTGTGTGTGGGGATGTTACTTACCATAATTTTTTAAGTTATTTTTACATTGAACACACATATAGGAAAGACTAGTGTGTTAGTAAATAACCAAATCTAACTTTTTAGTTTGTCCAAGGTTGCAGAAGAAAGGAAGGCAACTGTAGCTAAATCAATGATAGAGTGAGGCATGTTAAATGTTAAAAATCAACTGTTTCATGTTACATATAAAAGTTACAAAAATTTCTAAGCCATGAAGTTAAAAATTTAAAATATATAACACTATAGATTGTTTGAATATTACATGGAAAATACAAGTTTATTCTATCTCTTGGTATAATTTTCTGTAACAGCTTGTTTCTTGTATAAATCTGTAATAAAATCCAAAAAATCATTCGTTAAAAACATTAATTTTATTTAATTAAAACAGAACAGAATTTTCAGTTTTTGAAAAATGATTTTATAATCATTTATGAAGAATAGAGGCAATAAAATAAAATGATTAAGACAGCAAATAAGGCATTTCTTTTCGTTTTCTTCAGGTCACTACCAGTATTTTCTGACATATTTAGCAATTTCTGAACTAGATAGCATTACAAACATTAAACAAATTTAAAATAAAAATGGTAATATATAATAAAAAGCAATTATTTTTAGATTTAATTAATTTTATATTCTGTACAGTCAAATTAAAAAATCTCGTAAATATATAAATATGTAGAGTACTATATAATTAATTATTAATGCTATTGCAAGGATCATTTAAATATTTAAATTATTTAAGATTAATACTTCATTTTAAAACATGTATTGACACAAGAATTTCTGACAAGTATTTTAAAGTTATTTTATTAATTACAAAAAAGCTCTGAAGTTTAATTTATAAACATTTATAATTTTTCTAGTGTTTGCTTGGGAAGCATATAGAAAAAACGTGGACGTCCACCTCCAGTCTGAACCTACAAGGGCTGAACTTTTGTATAAGGAGTTCGAAGTTAAAAAACAGGAATCTAAATGTAGAATAAAAGAAAATATTCTTGACAAATATGGTGGAGGTGAACATTTGCAAGTCCTTCCAAAGGAACTCATCTTTGGGCAATCGGTAATTATCTTAATATTATTTTTGTATTTCCACAAAATATATTTTAAGTCTATTGATGATATAAAAAATTATAATTTGCACTGACACAATAATGATAAGCACACAAAAATGTAGATATAATATTCTTCTAATGCAACATTCGCATTTTTCACAGAACTACTAAGCTTTCCCTAAACTTCAAAAATAAAATGTTTGTATGCAATTCTTATAATATAAGCTGAGTAAATATGAAGAACCATTGGATTGGTTTAATAATTTGATTTTATTATTACTTCATATTTCAGCAATAGTACTTTAAGGTTTCAAATCTCAACCTTATATCTAACTTTAGATACATAAAGTTTCAAAATTTGACAAAACAAACTTGTTAACAATGAAAAATTTAAATGTCTACAAAATTTACAATATTTAGTTTATAATTAGCAAATTTTTGTTAAAGTTGAATTAATACTAATATGTTAGGTAATACAACAGTAAATGTAGAGAGAAAAAAATTCACTTAGTTCTAACAGAATTATTTTTAAACATACAAAGCAAAAGAATTTAGACTTTAATAATTGGTTATTTTAAAAAAAAGTCGGATGTCTTGAATTTTGTTCTTATGCAGGCAGAAGTCAACAACTATTGTGTGTTAAAAAACATTAATTTCCTTCTACCTGACAAATAAAATTGTGCTGTTCTGTACCATCTGAGTATTGTTTTCTTAGCAAGTTGATATCTGATTGCATTTGTTTTTATTTTTGTTATAAGAATTTAAATAAAATTCATTTTTTTCTACTTCAAAATAGATTTTTTTTTCCTTATATTTGTTTTATTTTTTATATTTTTTTCTTACTGTAATTATTTTATTTACTACTTTGTGATAAACAGGACAATGGTAAGCTAATGTTAACGCCATTGTACTACAGCATCTATTATATTCACAGTCAAATGCAGAGTAAATTATTTCTCCCTATCTCTCTTTTAGTTTAAGTGAATTAAAGTTTAATTTCAAGCAAAAATAAGTCATATTCATTTCTATTTGTATAAAATACAGTCTGAATTGAAAAACAAAGACAGATTAATTACAGAATTAATTTCATAATTTTTGTTTATTTAATCAATGAGTTACATTTACAGTTTATTTAATAATACATGACTTATTCAAATATTTGTATTTTATAGGAAAACAAAATATGACATTGATAAGGACATACTTTGTTTTTCTTTTGCTTTAGGTACAGAATAACTACATTCAAAAATTATATTTCTTTACATCTTTTTGCAAAACACACACCCACTTTTTTTACACGCAAGAAAAATTGTTTCTTCTATCTGGATATGTGAATACAGTATTTACTGAAAAATAATATTTTGAGATCTGTATTCAGAAGTAGTGAGCAAAAACACGGTGTATTTATATATATTATTATTTGTAACAAATAAGCAATCTTTATGGTAACAACTAGAAACTGCAACAGTAGATATTTAGACACTACAAACAATCTATGTATGCAGCAAAACCTTTTAATTACCAACCTTTTTGATTATTTTTAATGACCATCTTCAGGTAAGGTACAAAATTTAATGATGCATAAAATGGAATGCTTAATGTTTTATTTTGCACATTGATTTTGTAACTGTGTAACAGAGTAATAGTAAAAGGGCATCTTTGCCAAATGCT